TGGCAGTGGCTCTGCCAAAGTCCCGCCGGGCGCGGAGTTAATTCTGGGCCGCAGGGCAATAGACTTCCGGAAATCCGCGCCCAGCCCACCAAGGCGGTGCAGCTGCGGCAGGAGGTGCGGCCTCGGCAGCCAATCGGGAGGCGCTGTGTGCCCGCAGAGCCAATGAGGAGCCCGGTTTCCGTGGCGCCCCGCCCCTGCTTCCAGTTTGGGGTGCTGGGAACACTCCTCGGACGCCGCAGTGTCTTTCTCCGCCACGGCAGCTCGCGCCCTTTCCCGCCCGACATGCCATTTGTGGAACTGGACACGAATTTGCCCGCTGGCCGCGTGCCCGCGGGGCTGGAGAAGCGGCTCTGCGCAGCCACGGCCGCCATCCTGGGCAAACCCGAGGACGTGAGCGTGGGCTGGGGAGCGCGGGGCTGGGAGAGGCTGATGGACCGGGGATCGGGCTCCGTCCACGTCCCAACTTCCCCACGGGGACCCCGACTCCTCCTCCCAGCGACCCCCACCAAGCTCTGGCTTCTTGCTCTCCATGACCTCGCGGTCCCACCCCCCACGTCTGCTCAGTATCGCCTTCCCCAGCCATGACACCGACGTGACCTCCAGGGACCTCGGCCCGTACCCCTGGCCCTGCCCGCGGGGCCCGTGCGTCTCCGATCCCGCGCTGCCGCGTCCTCGGCGCGAGCCTGGCTTGCACCGGCTTCAGGTGAAACTTTCGTGTCCCCCGCAGCGCGTGAGCGTAACGATTCGGCCCGGCCTGCCCATGGCGGTGAGTGGTTCGGCCGAGCCCGGCGCGCAGCTGATAGTCTCCTCCATCGGTGTGGTGGGCACGGCGGAGGAGAACCGCGGCCACAGCTCCCGTTTCTTTGAGTTCCTCATGAAGGAGCTGCAACTGGGCCAGGACCGGTGCGTAGGGGCAGGGAGAGGACACTCTAGGGACTGCTGCGCCACCAGGGGCTGTAATCCCATGTCAGGGCCCCACCTAAAGGTGGGGGAAAAATTAAACTCCTCACCTTGCCCAGGAAAGGTCTAGTGTCTGGGGCACCCTGGTGGTGGTGGGTTCACCTTTAGAGTGCTAGGGGAGTTGAAGTTCTGGCTGTGCGTGTAGTTCTGGGTGGGCCACGCTGATGTACAGCCACCATCCTGCCCCTGACATGCCCACTGCCCTGTTGGAGAACATTAATGGGGTGAGGCAAGCTTGCCACATACCTGGTGGGCTAAGGCAGGCTGGCTGGGGAGCCCATGGTGGGAATGCTTGGCTAGAGGTCTTAGAATATGAGGCATTGGCTAAGTAGCTGATGACATCTTTTTCTCTGTCCCCTAAAGGATAATTATCCGCTTTTTCCCCCTGGAGCCCTGGCAGATTGGCAAGAAGGGGACGGTCATGACTTTTTTGTAACTGGCACGGAGTACATCCAGGGCATCTGTGACCTGGTCACCTCTTCCAGAGGGTCTCCTGGCAGAGTGAGGGCCTGGTGGATACCAGCTTCTGGCACCCCCACATGCAGACATGCCTGTGACCTCACAATCTTCTTCTTCCCCATCCTCATGCCAAATAAATGAAGAGAGCTTCATCTTTCAAACATGACTTCTTTACCTGTCCAAGGCATTCTGGTCCACCCTGGGCAGTGGGGTGGGTTTATGAGATGGGGAACCTTAGGGAACCTGGGAGAGGGGGATGGTTCCTATCTTCAGGGCTGCTGTTTCATGTATTGTATGTAGGCTGCTTAAATTGGAAGATGGAGGGCTCAGCCTGGAGGCCTTATTCTCCATGCCCATGTGCAGGTTCCTGGGGAGGGGCTGACAGTCTGGGCCTTCCTGCAGACTCTGTTGACCAGATGTTCCTGTCCTGTCCTCACCCTCTGCTGGCCTTAGTAGTTTCCTGCCCATAGGCTGCTGTATCTGGCAGGGGAGCCAGGCAGGCTGGGCTTCAGGGACCTTCCCTGGGTATTCTCAAAGTCCACCTTCTCCCAGGAGTCTCGCTGAGAATTCTCTGGCTGTGTACCTTGTAAAACCCACGTACCAGAATGGCAAACCTGGAAATGCAGTGCCCACTGTTAGAAACTGAATGACTAGGCTCTCCCCCAGCTCCCCAATACCATATCATGCTTTCACATTTTATAAGATAAACCCAGTGTGTGTACTGTTTCCCAGCACAGTTAAAGGCTTGATCACCCTTGTCTTTAGTACACCAGTAAAATACCAAATTGAGATGTTCAGTCTGAATATAGTTTCCAATGGAATGTGTAGGACTGCCTGCTGTGTTTGGACCAGATCACCACTGAGGACTCACTAAAACCTAGAATTTGGTGTTCCTTCCCCTGGCAACCTGTCCTAACTGTTTCTGCACTCATTCCTTCTGTCAACATGGGTGTCTTGCTTCCCAGAGGGGTTCAGGGAATGTGGGTTGAGTGTAAATGAATGGGTGAAGTGCCCAAGGAACGATTCAGGCCTAATCCTTGTCAGGACCTATCTGGTCTCTCCACCTTAAATCTCTTATCACCACTCTAGTGACAGTAATGTCATCTGCTTGCAATGGGGACTGGCCCCTCCCCCCTGGCCAGCATCATCTCCCCACACTGACCCTGAGTTTTGCCCGGTGGTAACACTGTGCTGCCTGACTCTCCTGCTTGTCAGTACTGTTTCTCATCTCCAAACCCTCACCACACAGCTCCCTGCTGCTTGGGCCAACCTTCCTACCTTTTTGCAACTGTTTCACTCCAGAGCATCTTTCAAGGTACAACTTAGATGTGGGAGCTATATCTAAGCCTACATGTTATCCACTAAAACTTTGAAAGCATCTGTTTATGCTTTTGTTCACTGCCCCTCTCCCAAGGCTATATATGCTTTCAAAATTAAAGTTGGTGTCCTGGTAGTTCAGTTGGTTAGAGCATCCTCCCCAAGGTTTAGGGTTCCATCTCTACTAGGGCTCATACAAGAATGCATAAATAAGTGGAACAACAAATTGATGTTTCTCTCTCGCTCTCTAAAGTCAATCAATAAAATTTTTTTAAAGAAGGTTGGTGGTGTAATTATTTTTGTAACTCCTGGCATATCAGTAAAGCTTCATTGTATTGAACTGACTCTGAATTCATGATTTTACGGTCTTTAGGGTCAAAGAGAAAGCCATAGCATTCATTCCTACTTCAGCCATTCTTGCTGGCCTCAAATAGCTATGCATTTCAACCAGTGGGAAGCCCTTCCCTAAAACCCTTAGCTCCCAGGAGAGTAACCTCTCCTAGCCCGAGGCCTTGTCGGAAACCCTTCCACGCTGGATCTTCTTTTGGTCTCTGAAATTCTCCCTCCCTCCCTGGTTGTTCATTTACCGGGTCTTGGTTTCTTTATTATCTTTTCCTTCTGTTCCAATAGAGGATTGTATATGTATTTTTTGGGTTTCCAGTCCTTTTCAGAAGAGGTGAGGTACAGGTAATATGAAGGAGAATGCTGTTATTCCCCTGGTTCCCTCTTAAGTGTTCCCCAAGTTTCCGTTGCCTTCAGAGCACCTGCCCCAGGTTCTAACAACACAGTCATTTAGCGACCAGCGACCATTCGGGGCCAGGCACCAAGCTCGGCGCTTCCCAACTATTACAGGTGGTGGAGCGGAGAGTCCGACAGCGAGCTGGCGCTTCAGGCCTCAAAGACGCGAGACCAGAAGCCAAAGTTCAGGATCGGTCACCGTCCAGCGCCGGGCTGCTGCCAGCTGCGCCAGACGTCGCCCGCACGCTTTTACCGAGCCTGTGGGCAGGCGAACGGCGCGTGAGCCCTCATTGATTGGCTAGCTGAGCCGGCACCCGAGCCAATGGGAATGCGCCTTATTGTCAGGCGCGCAGCCGGCCGGCGCGGGGGTCTGGGCAGACAGGCTGTTGCCGTGGAGACGCCTGGTGAATTCCCGGGCGGCGGGTTTGGGGACGGCCCCGGGGGTGCCGGCGCGTCTCTCCGGAGCTAGGGGCAGCGGCGAGGGCGCCAACGTGAGGGGCGGCGGGCGCGAGGCTGAGGCCGGTGCGGACGCAGCGGGCTCCTGGGCAGCCCCAGTGCCTACAGTCGGGGAAACGGAGGCCGTAGTGCTGGAGCTACGAGGCCGAGCCATCCGGCTGACCCGCGCGGGCCATTTCGCGGCTCTTTCCGCTGCCCTGGGGTGCATAGGACTGGCTCTGGCCTCCGGAGTGGTTCACAGGGACAACAGCAGGATCCACCATTGATTCGGCGTTTGCTGGGGGCAAAGCCCAGCACTAAACCCTTGACTGGTGTTCTTTCACTTCACCTTCACTGCAGCCCCGCGAGGTGAGTACTATTATCACCATATACAGGGGTGGAAACTGAGGCCGAGAGGTGGGTCGGCCCGACTGCACACTGAAAATTTTGACTGCACTGGTGCCGCCCCGGAGGAGGCGGACCCGGCTAGAAGAACTTGACGCTTCAGGTGTCTGCACCAATGGCTTTGGGAACACTTAACTCTGGGGCCAGAGTTACTATAGGTCATAACTGTGGGACGGTGGGATTCCCTGCAGCTATGGTTCCTTCTGTGTGATTCATAACTGTGGTTAGGACTAAAATATCCCTTGAATGGTTTCGTTTGAGGTCGGCAAACTTTTGTTGTAAATATAAAAATATATCTTTCTAAATAGATTTTCCTATTCTGGACATTTCATATAAATGAGATCATACGATATGTGGTCTGTGACTGGCTTCTTTTACTTTACTTAGCGTAATATTGTCATGGTTCATCCAGGTTGTCAGTAGTTCATTACTTTTTATCGTTGAATAATATTCCATTGTTTGGATATACCACATTTTATTTATCCTTTCATCAGTTCACGAACATTTGGTTTGTTTCCACTTTTCGGTTATTATGAATAGTGCTGTCCTCATTAATTTTTAGAGTAGCATATTACTTCATTGTGTGGATGTACCCTTGTTTATTCCTCCACTCAATTATCTATGGCCGTTTAGGTTGTTTTCAGTGTCTTTCAGTTACAAACAATGCTGCAATGAATAACCCTGTGCATATGTATTTTCATATTGTTGGAGGTACATCTTCAGGGTAGATTCCTAGAAGTGGAATTGCTGGGTTGAAAGGCAGCTGCATTTGTAATTTTGTCAAATGCCCCTCCAGAGGAATTGAACCAAGTTTCATTCCCACCAACAATGAGAACAATGCCTGTTTCCCCACAACCTCACCAACAGAGTGTGCTGCTGTCATACTTTAATTTTTGCCAGTGTGATAGATGAGAAATGGTGTCTCAGTGCTGTTTAAGTTTTTATTTCTCTAATTATGTGTGAGTTTGAACACATTTTCATATGTTTGAGAGCCAGTTGTATGTCTTTTTTGGTGAATTGTTCGTTCATATATTTTCCCCATTTTTCTATAAGGTTTTTGTTTTTCTTCCCTCAGGGTTTTTTTTTGTTTTTTCAAAATTGTGGTAAAGTGTACATTACATGAAATGCACCACTTTAACTGTTTTTTTAAGTGCACAGCTCCATGGCATTAAGTACATCCACACTGTTGTACAACCACCGTCACCATCCATCTCCTGAACTTTTTTTTATCCACCCAAACTAAAACTCTGTCTCTGTTAACCACTAACTCCCTATTCTTCCCTCTCCCAGCCCTTGGCAACCACCATTCTACTTTCTGCCTCTCTGACTTTGCCTGTTCTGGGTACCTCATATAAATGGAATCATGTAGTATTTGTCTTTTTGTGACTGGCTTATTTCACTTAGCATAATGTTTTATCCGTGTTGTAGCATGTGTCAGAATGTGTTTCCTTTTTTAAGGCTGAATAATATTCCATATCTATCTATCTATATATATACACACACACACATATATATATATCTCTAGCCCACATTTTATTTATCCACTTATCTGTCAGTGGACACTTGGGTTTTAACCTTTTGGCTATTGTTAATAATGCTGTGTCTCTAAAAGCTTTGTTGAGACATAATTTACATGCCATACATGTCACCTACATAAGACGTGGTTTTTGGTGTATTCACGCAGTTGTGTAACTATCACCACAATCAATTTTAGAACGTTTTCATCCCACCAGAAAGAAACCCCATACCCATTAGTAGTCACTCCCCATTTATGTCTCCCCCAGTCCCCTATTTACTTTCTGTTTCTATAGATTTGCCTATTCTGGACAGTTCATATAAATGGAATCAGACCAAATGTGGCCTTTTTGACTGGCTTCTTTCATTTAGCTTAAGGTTTTCAAAGTTCATCCATGTTGTAGTATCAGTCAGGACTTTCATCTATTTTATGACTGAATAATAATCCATCGTATGGACATAATGCATTTTATTTATTCACTAATCATTTGATGGGTATTTGCTTTTTTCCCACCTTTAAGCTATTTTGAATATGCTGCTGCAAACACTGGTGAACAAGTTTTAGTGTGGACATACGTTTTCATTTCTCTTGGGTAGATACCTAGTAGTGGAATTTCTGTGTTTGACATTTTGAGGAACCACCAGACCAATTTCCACAATGACTGTACCATTTTACATTCCCATCAGTAGTATATGAGGTTCTGATTTCTCCACATCTTCACCAATCCTGTCATTTTTGCAGACTTCACACTGATC